GAGTCGTGAAAAAAAGCAAGACTGTTCCATCAACTGCTCACCCTTCTATCATTGTGAGAATTGCCTTGCACATAAGCACATCTCTTGGCTATTCTAGTATCACTCTTCTCATAGCCCTTCAGAGCCTGTCTAGCCAGGGTCCAAGCCTGATTTCTTATTTTGCATTCCACACCTCCAAAATTTAAAATAAAACCTGAGGAAATATTGAAGCCACTTTCATCCTTGCTCTATGTCAAATGCAGCAAGTTGCCCCTTTGACTCTAAGGATCACGACCAGTGAACCACACTTAGCCTGTGATAGTTGCCTGGGGTCTTTCCAGCAAAACTGTTTCAGTGGAAATAGAAAAGCCACTTAGATAGGCACAGAACAAACTCTCAAAAGACATCAGAGAGTCTTCCACACCCTCACAAGTCTAAAAGATATATACTTGGTATGATCAGAGCACAACATCTCAAGCCTAGACGTAGTACATATTCCCCTAGCCATAAATGAAACTGGCATGAAGGAGCAGTGGGCACTAGGTGGGGAAGGGGGATATAAAGTAGCCACTACCCAGCTGAAGCTAAGGAAGGCCAGTGATTAAAAAGAAGGTACTAGTTTGGGAGACTGGAAAAGCAGCATAAGCTTATCAAGGGATGCGGCACAGGGGTCTATGTTTGTAAGCTGGGGTGTGCAAGAGGATGGAGTACACAATCATTTTCATCTGTGGAATTTTTGGGACAATAATTAATACATATTTGCTATTAGAACAGGCACAGGAAGCTAATGTGGTAGTGGATTTCCTGCACCCATACTGTACAGTTGATTTGTATGTGAGCGGTAAATATTCACAACATGACCCAGAAACACGTACTATGTGAATGCTCTAACTATGCTGTGAATGGGCATGAGGCCTGATGCCTTCAAAAAGCAGCAGGCTTACTGCGGATCAGATATTTCCAGACATGAGGCATACTGTTTGAAAGCCTGAAAGCCTGAGATGCCAAATGTCTGGGCATCACCTTCTAGTTTCCCACCCCATTCGATACTTCCAGGCAGGGAAAAATGAAAATGCACAATGCAGAGCCTCTTTGGGAACCTGGATATGCAGCAGGTATGTGCACACAGCCTGAGAAGCCCTGAGCAGCTGCCACTGTTACTACCACTGGGAATGGCACCAGAGCAAATTAAACTTACAAACCCTTAGATCAGAAAATTGAAAGTCTTGTTTTATACAATTTAACCCAGATTAGAGAGCCAGCCAACAAAACATTTCTCCATGAACCCAAGTACCTTGGCTGAATTTATGAGCTAAGAAGTATTTTGGGCACGTCAAGCAATGAGAAGAGGAGAATCTGTTGTTTCTGACTGCTGTAGCCCTCCCAGTCTGTTGGTACAATTTGGACCACCATCCTACACTCTGATTGCTGACAGGAAAGCTTGCTTGCCTGCCTCTGCTAATCAAGTTAGATAAATCCGTCGAAAGATCCAAGGGAAAAATATGCTGAGTACTTTAGAAAAGCCAGGTTGATCTTGTCTTTAGGTTTGAGAACGATATTATGAAAGAATGAGAAGCAAGTGAAACAGAGGTCTGAGAAAACACTGACCATTTCACTGCTCAGTTCTTGCCAACTGACGTCTCATGCAAGTTCTAAAAGATGAACCTGAGCAAGGATGGCTGCTGTTGAATGCAAGGTGCCCACTGAAAACACAGAAATCTGTACCAGTTAGAAAGAAATCTTTCTCACTAGCTTTGGTCCAGGTCTTGGAGATTTAATGACCTGCAGAGCCCAAGTTATTCTTTGAGGAGAAATCTACTGTCTTTTTCAAAAAGCAGGTGACACAGCAGCTGCAGATTCCAGTGCAAGAAGCTTCTAGGAACATCTACCATCCCTACCACTAGGGATTACACAACTATTTGCCAACAAGTAGTCAAAAATTGGTTTAGGTTCCGAATCAACAAGCTTCATTCTCTTAAATACCTGATTTTTGACCTTTATTATGCAACTAAGAATCCTTTAAAGAGAATGCTTTTTCAAGAGCAGTTCTAGTGAAGTCTTGGCTTCAATTACTAGAAATTAGCTTCACTGGACAATGAGGAATCACTTTCATATTAGATGTCCTTAGATGATTACATGACTAAAAATGTGATAAAATTATATATGGGAATCTCAAATACTTCTGTGACAAAACACACAACCACATTGAATGCCTTTACAGCAGAATGCGAAAGGGTGACAATCCTGCCTGATGGACAGAGTTAGAACTGCAACAGGGCACCGAGACAGGACTAGGGTTAAAGGAGAGAGCATGTTTGGCATAACCTCAATGAGCTAGAGGGCAACAAAGGCAGGACTGCAGCCAACCTGGCAGAGGGACAGCCGCTTACGGTCATCAGAAGTAAGCCCATGTACAACTTGGAATATCTAACCTCTTGTGTAGCCCCGCAGGCTTCTTTGTCTGGTGTCTTTCTAGTGAAAGCCTAAGCCATCATTTGAGTGGGAACAGCGTCAATACTTATGGAAAGTGACGAAAAGAAATAATCTCAAAAGGCACAGCAGTGCAGATTTATAAAATGACATTTTAACATATGCAGAACTCTTCTCTGTCTCTGTATTACAAACTCAAGATCTTCTTTGACTTTCAGTGAGCAGACTACTGATTTGTCAACTCATCTCATACAGCCAAAAGAATTCAACTAAAGAAGGAAGAACTTCTTTTGAGAAACATATAGGTAATTCAGTAGCAGGAGTGTGACTTATAGAGAAAGCAGCTTTGTCAGTAAGAATAGCCTGAATCCTACAGATTGCAAGCATCAAAACAAAATTTTGAAACAAACCTCAGTAGCACTAAAATTGCTTAGAATTACCACAGAGCCATACAAAAACTGTAAGGACTGAGTTTCAGAGGCAGATGTTTGAACTGGAGCCAAGTACAAGCCAGATAAGAGACCCATTTACAAAATATTTCCATCTTTGCTGAATTCTACAACTGATAGACCAGAACCTTAATGGAACAAAACAGGAAGCTTTTCTTCAAACAGTCATCCAGCACTAAGCACAGGCTGACACCCATCAGATGACCCTCTATGAACTGCTTGCTCCAATATAACAGATCAAGTAGCAAAAAAGGCATTTACAGTACAAGATAGCCATCTCCATATATCACGACCTTGATATTCCTTTTGGAATTCTCTCGTTAAAAGTTCACAGCCCAAGTAATCCAGCACTGCCTCAAGAATCCCTTTTTTTCATTTCCAGATTTACATAAAACTTTTAACTCCCTGTATTCTGGCCCTTTGATACAAGCAACCATGGAGATAAAATAACATAATAAAGGGTCTTCAGGCATCTTTCTATCTCTTCCTCTGAGAATAAAAACAGAGCAAGTGAAGTACTGAAAGACCAAATGGTTCATATAAGAGGTTTGAAGATAGGATCTTATACCACCTGTGGCTGGACAATTCTGAAAGACTTTTGGATTGCTGTACAAAATAAAACAGAATTTCTAAAGACATTAGACTACACATACAGCGCTAAATGAGGCACAGCCCTGGAAATCATTCAGAGTGGGGTTCTGGGCATTAAACAGTGGGTTCTCAGATATAGAGGTAACATATAGCTGAATTTATTTCAGAGCAATGTGGTAATTACAGTGACTTCTGCAGAGTTCTGCAATGGGAGATTTTGAGGGTGAGTAATCCTTTTCCAGCCATGTCTGTGAGTCCAGGCAGAGGTGCAAGCAGAGTTGAGAAAAGGAACGGAAGCTCCAGGACAGCCTGCACTCTCTGCCATGCTCTCGGGCTCTGTGGGAGGGGAAGGCAGTTTACACCTGTTGGATGGGCTCTTTATTTGGATTAGGTAATAGCTCGCCTGGCTGGGCTCCAAGAGCAGAATCACCACCACCTTTCTCAATAACTCTAAACCCCAGAGGCAAACATTGCGCTGGAACAGAAACAGGCCAGGAATTCATTTCTCACATTCCTCTTCTTTAGGCAGGATGAAAAGCAGTGACTGATGAAATAAGAACAATTTTACTTGAGCTTTCCAAATCCCATTCCAATCCTCCTATTGAAGAACCCATTTGGGAAAGGACAACCACTCGAGTCACGTGCCTTTTGCACTGTATGTCTGCCTCTCTCACCTCCATCCATTCTCCAGTAGCATTCAGGCACCAATGAAAAGAATCAATATTTTCACATATACAGTGGGGGTATACACATATACCCCTACACATAGGGCTTTCCAGCCCTAAACTCATGTGTCAGAGAAGCTCTGCCTCATTAGTCTATTTCAAAAGACAAAAATAAAGACTTAGGCAAAGGAATAAATATTATTTACTGAAGTGGCAAAGGAAGAACTCCAATATCCAGCAATTCTGGACCTGTATTCAGCCTAGTCTACTGCGGCAAGCTTGCCTTGCTCTTAGCTTCCAAGATCCAGAATCCTTGGGGTGAATCTTGCTGCTCTTTCAATCTCAGGAAGAATGGTTTTACTGCAGAATCAGTCCTCTGCCCTGAGTCCCATGAGTATATCAGCCATAAATATAAATTCCAATGTCCAAAATAAATAAAGAGGATAAAGAAGGCATCTGAAAAATAAACTTTTATGAACACAGCAATATGCTGCTCTACCTTTGAACAATCTAAACTTAATATTCAAGGGAAAAGCATGAAGATGAGCCTTAGCAAGATTTCAGGTGTAAGTTCGCATTCAGCATAAATGTCTCAACACCAGCACACCTAAACTTACAGATGCAGGGATGAGAAACGATGAAAGAGAAACAGACATTTCCCTTTCATTCTACATGTTCATCCATGCCCTTATTTCACCATGAACGTGCCAGCTCTGGGAATATAGCTCTATTTTCATAGGCCTAGTTTCTGGGATAGTCCCGAGAAGAAACAGTACTAGGCCCTTAGATGTTATCTTCTGAGTAAGAAGCCAAACACAAATTACAGATGAGGTCCTGAGTGCATTGCATTCTTCTTCAAAAAGCTGGAGCAGCAATTTTAACTTACCTGACTGCTGAAGAGACAGATCGTTTGTCAGCTATAGGAGCGTCTGACTCAACAGCCCACAAAGACCCTCTTTTGTCAAGCGGTGACCGGTAGCTCTGCGGGGCAGCTGCATTCCCCTTGCTTATAGCTCCACTTGCCAAGTTCAGGTTTGTTAACTAAAGTGGTAAAACAGAAAGGAAAAAAATACATCAGAAACAACTAAAAGAAAGGACCAAAAGGTGTAAAGTAAACCAGATAGAGTATGTACTAAGAGAAGGAAGACCGCTAGAGAAATGAAACCTTCAGATGCAGAAAAACTGTGCTAGTTGCATAAAGCAGTGGGAGATGGGACACCAACAGCCAGAATGCTTGAGATGAATTCAAGTACCAGCATTAAAACTACAACCCTTCCATTCACAGAAGGACAAAGAGGGAAAAGGACAAAGATGGGGCAAAAATCCCAAAGGAAGAAAGCAACATCACATTCTTGCCATGTGCAAACTTAACTCTACATGCGTTAATCAAAAACTAGAAACTCTTATTAGACTGAGCAGAGACCAGACTGTCTTGCCAGTCACCATGAGCTGTGTCACTAAGCCAGCTATATGCATCTGTTCTCTCTAAGCATACATACAGGCACAACCTAACAGCATTACGTATCTTAGATATAAAATTCAAAACCAAACTCTAATACACATGAGAAACTTCTCACCCAACCACTTCTAAACTGTCCACACAAGTAAATGCAGTAGTTAATAATAGCCTAAAATCATATTAGGTGTATGTATGTTATATGAAGCTCTAAAGAAACTATGTGGTTTTAAGCATATAAAATGTATTCCACTGTTTCCTTCTCTGAGGATTCTTCTTGTGTTGATCTTTTTGAAAGACCAAGATCTGCAAGCAGACACTCTCTGTTAGTTTACTGATGAGAGCCTAAATACTTAACATAATAGTATTTACTACAGCAGTCTAAGTATTAGTTTACAATTGGGGAAAAAAAACCAAACCAAACAAAAAACAACATTTTTTTCAAAGTTACAAAACACTACAAAGGTTGCAAAACTAAGATTCCCAGTCAGGCATTGCCAGAATGAAGTTTATGACTGCCTTTAATTATATGATCACATGCAGCTTTTTGGAAGCACAGAACAGACCTGGTTCTGCACCAAGACTAAGGTCACACGGTAAACAGGACCTATCTGTATTGTCCCTGCTCACTTCTGTAGCGACTAGAAGGCATATAGTCAATGAGACACAGGAACAGACAGAAAGAAGAGTCCAACAACTAGCCCTGCATCTGCTCCAGATCTCAGAGGTGATGCTATTAAGTCACTTCAGTGTGACTTAAGCATAGCTTGTGAATTCCCAGCTTTGAGATCTTAACAATGCTCTTTTACCAAAATTTGTGGGCTACTATTTAACAAAGTCCATACCAGCTTCATTGCAATATACTGTACTCATACCTACAATAGACTTGTACACGACTGCAGACTTCGTATCCTCTGACTGAACTCTGGTACATGAACTAACACTGCAACTGGCACCACATCAGGTTGCTTTAGCAGTACCAGACATCTAAGCCTTCTCTAAGTTCAGAAATCTTAACTCTTACTTCAAGTTCTCACCTCTCTTCTTCCCCATTTCTTGCTCCTTGTCTCTGTGTCATTATCCTCACCCGGTCAGTCCCAGCTTCCACATTTCAGGTGTTGGTCTCCTTACTCTGCTCAATCTAGTTTCATTTTACAGACTTCCAGCACTGGCCTCCCCACTATTTCTGGCCCCAGAGCCACACCAATTGAGGCCTGGAACTTTCCATGGGAGTACTTATTCTATCTGTCTTCTCACACTTTTGTTCTTAGTTCCTCACATACCCTGTAATTGAGTGGTTCTAGTTTTGCTCCACTCCTCAGCCCACTTCTTTTGCCAACATTTGTGTTCACCCAGTCCCAGAATGTGGGCTCCACATTGGACCACATTTATCACGCTGCCATTCTTTCAATTTCTGTTCTTTCACCTGAATGGTTCTCAGTGTCCTCTTCCAAATTACGTTCAGTTCCAAATTGCACAACTTCCTTGTCCTAGCTGTTCTCCACACCTTGGCAGCATCCCCACTCATTCTGCTTTCAACTCAGATGGGCTCCCAACCCAACACAGACCAGGTGACTGAGAACACAGGAGAATGGGGCCTCAAGCCTCAGTACTCTAGAGGTGCAAACACAGAGAAATTTAGTTTAGCCTCCTCAGCGTGGGGGGAACCTGCAGGAAGCTGAGGATCTCTAACAAGTGCTGCTGAGTACGTTTCCCCTGAAGCTTTTCAGATAGTTACTGTGCAATCAAGCTTTGATAAAATTTTAAATTCCAAATTCCTATTCCAAAGCATGGGAGATCCAGAGATCTAAAACAAAAGTTCTGTAGATAGTAAAATGTACAGAGTACTTTTTTTCTATCCAGCTTCGGTTTTGGCTGGAACACTTTACCTTGCCTGAAGTGTTCTGAAAACTGAACATTAAGCACAGAAAACATGAGTCAAAGTGGATAAAATTTCAGAACATTACAAGCAATTTAAAACAAGATCTTGCAGTGGGACATATTGGGCAAGCTTAGTAACAGGCAGTGCTATCGTCTTAGTCTTATATGGAAAACAGCATTAGGTGTCATTGTGGTGCCTCGATTTCGCCCTTAAATGTTGTTGTCTTCTGTAGAATTTAATTAAAATCTAAAGCATTTTCATTGCAATAACAGAAAGCTTCAAATTAGGTTTAGTTCTAATTGTGCCAGGCACTATACAAATACCTAACAATGACAGCTTCTGGCCACAAAGAGCTTATTGTCTGAGAAGAAGCGAGAATGGTAAATGAGGCAAACACAGAGGCCAACATGGTAAATGAAATAGGACATATACAATTCTTAGCTTGTCAGCAACAGCGATCACAACTTTGCTAACATATCCAATGTGTGGAATGAAGATTACGTCATCTAGTTTTCTCTCCTTGATACCAAGAATCATGTAGTCTCATGAATTAGCACCTCACCCCTGCTCTATTAATGTGATACGCTTTCCTCTCTAATACCATTTCACTGTTTATTTGAAAGCTGTCTTTCTAAGCAAAGCAGGTGAACAAATAGGTTAGCATGGGTAGCAAGGACATTTCACACATTCCAGACAGACAGGTGTTTAAACTACAACAGGATTAAATGCAGGCCAGGGATTCAGAATGAGGGAGAGAGCACCAGCAAGAGTACGAGGTTTAGCTGCAGCCAGCCCACCCGGAGGGGTGTCAATGCTTGTTACTGTGCCATGAGCTGAGACATTTCAATTGCTATAATTAGCTTGCCAGGATGTTGCCTTGGTGAATTGCTGGGGCACCCCCAGCACATCTGTGCTCAGTAGAGTGGCTTCATTAGAAAATGTCACTAGTCCTCTTGTGCACCTGATGAAACTGTATTCTTCCCTTTATAGAAGCAAATACTTAGCAACAAATCAATTCTTACTTTGTCTTAGAAGAAAATGTATAGCACCTGAACCAAAACAGATACCTCATGTAGAATAGCTTGCAGCTTCAGAATTTGTGGTTATGAAAAACAAAATAAAAAAACAAACCCACACAACAAAAGGAGAAAAACGCCCACCAAACATAAAAAACAAACAAACAAAAAACCAAAACAAAAACCAACAAGAAAGGCAGGGTAATAGGGCTCAACAAGGAAGGTGGTTACTGGTGTGGATCTACAAGAATAAAGTTAGTTTTCACCACTGAGTTGTATACAGATGGATTCAATTCTCCTACTTGGTAAGATCCCTGTTTGTTTTTCACTAACAGTGAGGATTTCAGAATATTTTTTCTGATACCAACAGTATGATAGGAGACCGTATGACAGCGTATGAAGTGTGCAGCACTGCACGCTTCAAGCATCCCAATTTTCAAACACCTCTCCTCTCATTCTCTGTCACAGCCATATAAATAGAGCCTTGTGTGAGAAAACCTAACCGCACATATATGTAACAGAAGATGTATGTACTGTTACACTTCGTCCAATTCAGTGCTAATAAGCCAAAAGACAAATTATTGCATAAAACCAAAATACTTTATTTTAAATTTTTAAGTGTTACAGAGTAAGTTTATAACTGCAATACACTCGCATTTGTGACAGCAGAGACACATAAGCTTAAAAGAATTAGTCTCTATGGTCTTGCTTTATTCAGATAAATTTATTTCTGAATAAATTTAAGACTAAAAGCAAGGCCACAACACAGAATGATATCCAAATGCACTGGATATAAGAGTTGAGGGGGTTGTTTTTGTTAATCTGCTTTATAATTTAAATAGGAAATATGGAATCTCCAAATACAGATAGGAAGAAAGAAAATTCCAGGATATAATTTATTTTTAATGAATAGTATCCTACAGACAAAGGCCTATTGTACAGTACCTTTATGAAATCATGCGCAAGAGTCAGGAGAGATGCTTCATATCTTTCACATTTCTGAGCTACATTATATTCTTCTTTCAATAGTTTCCCATTATCATATTGAAGAATCTTTTTTCTATAATAAGCTGAGTATTTTCATTTTGATCTTGTATAATGTTTCAAATAAGATAAAGCAGCAAATGTTAGCAATGGCAAATTTTTTTAAAAAATAAAATAAATTAAGAAAAAAAAAACCAGTGCTGCAGATCAGCCTCCATGGATTCAGGGAAAACCTCCTAAAAGCCTGAGTGTTTCTCTTACTAGTTGGCAGGAGTCAACCAGGGTGAACAGGGACACATCATCACTAGAAGTTGTTACTCTGTCCCTCTTGGAAGAGTGTGGAAAAGTGACTTAAATTTTCATTGCCAGCATCCTGAACAGCAGATCCTGAGTTTCACTGGTCAACGTGTTACAACACTTGGCAAGCAATGCACTACAAAAAAATGCCTCACTCACCTCCCCAGTTGGCAGGTTCAGTATTTTTCTGCCAGCGGCCAGTCATATCCTGTTGCACATAAAGTGCTGGGGGACTGGTGATCTACAAAGTCTAAAGACCGTTTCTCTTACTTGGGGCCACACTTGCATCATCTCAACACATCTCGCATTTCCATTTGGATCTTTCTGATTGGCGAGGTGGAAAAGAGATCCAGAGTTCAAGCCATATTTCAAAGATCAAGACTAAGAGATATGCCAAAAGAACGTG